AAAAAAAACAAAAGGGATGACAAAAGAGACTCTGAAGCTTGCCCTTGAGTGGAGAGTAGCTAAAGCAAATGGAAGAAATGACAAGATAAAAGAGCTGAACAGAAGACTTCAAAGAGCAGCTCAGGCAGACAGCCAATTACTATAATGAAATGTGCAAAGACTTGGAGTTAGAAAACCAAAAGGGAAGAGCACACTCAGCATTTCTCAAGCTGAAAAAACTGAGGAAAAGAACTGGTAGATCTTCATCCATTTCAAGAGGTGGCATATGATCTAGAACCAATGGTACTGAAGGAGGAAGTTGAAGCTGCAATGAAGGAATTGGTAAAGAACAAGGGAATACCCATTGAGATACTTCAGCAAAAGGATGCTGCACTGTAGGCACTCACTCAGTTATGCCAAGAGATCTGGAAGACAGCTACTTGGCCAACTGACTGGAAGAGTTCGATATTTGTACTCATTCCAAAGAAAGGTGATCCCACAGAATGTGGAAATTATCGAGCAATATCATTAATATCACACACAAGTGAGATCTTACTGAAAATAATTCAAAAATGGTTGCAGCAGTGTATTGACAGAGATCTTCCAGAGTGCAGGCTGGATTCAGAAGAGGATGTGGAACAAGCTGCTGTCAGATGGATCTTGGCTCAAGGCAAAGAATACCAGAAAGATGTTTACTTGTGTTTTATTGACTATGCAAAGGCATTTGATTGTGTAGATCATAACAAATTGTGGATAACATTGAGAAGAATGGGAATTCCTGGACACTTAATTGTACTCATGAGGAACTTGTACATTGACCAGAAGGCTGTCGTTCAAACAGAACAAGGGGACACTGCATGGTTTAAAATCAAGAAGGGAGTGCGTCAGGATTGTATCCTTTCCCCATATTTATTCAATCTATATGCTGAACAAATAATCTGAGAAGCTGGACTATATGAAGAAAAGCATGGCATCAAGAGTGAAGGAAGAATCATTAACAATGTGCTAAACACTGATGACACAACTTTGCTTGCTGAAAGTGAGAATGGCTTGAGGCCCTTACTAATGAAGATTGAAGAATACAGTCTGCAATATGGATTACATATCAATATAAAGAAAACAAAAATCCTCAGAACTGGACCTATAAGCAGCAGCATCACGATAAATGGAGAAAAAAAATGATGTCAAAGAATTCACATTGCTTAGTTCTACAGTTGATGCTAAAGGAAGCAGCAGTCAGGACATTAGACAAGGTATAGCACTGGGCAAGTCACCTGCAAAGGACCTCTTTCAAGTGCTGAGGAGCAAAGATGTCTCCTTGAGGACTAGGGTGCGCCTGACACAAGCCAGGATATTTTCAATTGCCTCATATGCATGTGAGAGCTGGACAGTGAATAAGGAAGACTGAAGAAGAATTGATGCTTTTGAATTGTGGTGCTGGCAAAGAATGCTAAAAGTACCGCGGACTGCGAAAAGAACTAACATATCTACCCTGGAGGAAGTGCAGCTGAAGTGCTCCTTGGAAGTGAGAAATGGCCAGACTTCGTCTCACCCACTTTGGTCACATTATCAGAAGGGACCATTCCCCGGAGAAAGATGTCATGCTTGGTAAGGTGGAGGGTCGACAAAAGAGGGGAAGGCCTTCAATGGGATGCATTCACGTGGTGGCTGCAAAGAAGGACTCAAGTATAGCAAGGATCATGGAGTTGGTGTGGGATCAGGCGGTGTTTCATTCTGCTGTGTGTATGGTCACTATGAGTCAGAAATGACTCGATGGCACCTAACAACATACAAGTAAACAATTGTCATCCCATTAAGTGCTTTAAGCAAGTTACAAATAATATGTAAATTTATTCAAAGGACTATGAAGAAAAACTTCATGGAAAAAGCTGCATTTAAAATTTGTCTTGAAGAATGAGCCCCATTTCAATAGGTCTGACATGGGCAATGTTTTTCCTATAAAAGGCCAGGTAGTAAATACTCAGGCTTTGGAGACCAAGAGGCAAAATTGAAGATTTCATAGATCTTGGACAATGAGAAGGAATGGAAACTAGGCTGGTGCATTTTACGTTTTCTTGAGATTCTGCAGATGATTTTAGATGACTTGTTTCTCCATAGTCTCTGTGATTATACCTATGAGCTGACAACTACCTTCACAGAGTTCTATGATAGCTGCTATTGTGTGGAAAAAGATCGGCAGACTGGAAAAGTACTGAAGATAAACATGTGGAGTGTGCTGCTGTGTGAAGCAGTAGCTGCTGTCATGGCCAAAGGGTTTGATACCCTAGGAATAAAACTAGTCCAAAGAATGTGATCCTTTTTAGGTTTGAACACTGTGTTTTTACTGAAGTAGCCATTAACACTGTTTGCTTTTTACAAACATGTGGATGTAAAACAAAGAAAATTTGTCAACTACCTACATAAGATGTGATTCTTTATAACAGCAAGTATTCTGAAAAGGAAAAAATCACCTTCAAAAATACATCTATTTCTGTTGAGTGTTAAACCAAAATGGCTTAGTGGAGGCTGTGGAATAACATAGGATGTGTTGCTCACAGTGAGAGAGAAAGTTTATTGACTTGATAGGGATGTGTTTTCATTTATTTTAATTAGATAAAGAATCCCACTTATTGAGCCCTACTTTAGACTCCAGGAACTTTAAATACCTTTATTATTGTTAAGGACCCCTGGTTGTCCACTGGTTAAAGTGATACACTGCTAACCAAAAGGCTGGCAGTTTGAACTTACCCTGAAGCTCCGCTGAAGATTCTGCTTCCATAAAGAATCATCCCCTGGGCTTGGCACGTTGCCTCACTCCTTGAAATGTGAGATCTTTTAGCAAAGTAGAAGCTGAAAGTTGCTGGACGGGGTGGGGAGGGCTTGTAGCAATGATTATTGGGTCAGTAGTTAATGCAGTCTGGCAATACTCTCTCAGACTTTGTAAAGATGAAATGATATTCATGTAAGGAATTGCAGTATCTGGAAAAACAAGTGCTTAGTAGACATGAGCTATACTGTACCATGCGATCTCTGGTAGCGTAGTGCCTAAGGCACTTGATTGCTAACCAGAAGGCTGGCAGTTCAAGCCCACCAGCCACTCCTCAGAAGGAAGGTTGGGCAATCTACTTCCATAGTGATACAGCCCCAGGAAACCCAAGGAGGGGTCGCTATGAGTCGGTCCGACTCGATGGCACATAACAACAACAACAACTTATATAACAAGAAAGAAAACAAATTCAGGTATGAATGCGCCCATCAATGTATGGAATTTCTTAAAGTTTTACTTCTTTGAAGGTGAGCAAGATGTTAAGATTTCATAGTAGAAAGTGCAACAGGGACAGTACAGGCAGGAGAAGCTCTCTTGCCAGCACTGGTACCCTGTTGTTGTGAAGTTATCCAGTGAGACCTGCTATGCCTGTCTGCTCAGAGCATAGTCCCTCTGTGACCTTGCAACCTCCTACTGGAGGGGTCTTTTCCTCTGCCCTCATGGATGGAAAACCTGAGATCCTGAGAACTCCAAAGTTCCTGTCCCTTTCAGCATCCAGATTTCCAAAGCATAACCATACCATGAAGTTCTGATCACCTGCTCTCTTTGTAGCCTGAGAGTGGCCTATATTTGCCAGGCAACTCCAGACCAGGTCTAGCCCAGCCAATCTTGCAAATTTCTCCAGTCATGGGCTGAACTACATCTTCTCCTTCCAAGTTTGGGCTTCTATAAGTACTTTCCTTCAGACCTAGGATACTATATAGAGTTTACTAATGTGTTTTATCATGGTTAATAATTCTTTATACTAAAC